CCCCCCCCCCCCAACACACACACAGATATCGATGTGTGGTCATAGCTCTTGCTGTCCCTGTCTGGCTGGGTGTGTGTCAGAGCGTGAACCTGTTGTCAAATGCGTCTCGTGTGATGCCCAGCCTGGTGAAGGAGCAGGAAAGTGCCGGGCCGGTTGACTTCGACATGATCAGCAAATCGCTCCCAAAACTCACGGCAGCCATCATCGGTAACCACAGACACACACATGCACGCGCATTGGCTCGCTCTCACCCCCACGAACGCCCCTATGTGTGTGTCGTTCGACCAGAGAGTCTGCGTATGTACCCGCCGCTGTTCTTTCTGTTCCGCTACGTCAAGGAGCCTCTGGTGTTCAAGGGCCGGGTCATCCCCACCAACAGCACGGTGGCCATGTCGCCAGCCGAGACGGGCAGGAACCCCGACATATTCGACCAGCCCGACTTCTACCAACCTGCACGATGGCTCACGGTGCGCACACTCAGACAGGCAGGAAGGGCAAGGGACCTCATCCTTGTCTGTCTGTGTGTGTGTGTGTTCAGAATGACTGGGACGAGTGGCGCAAGGTGTCCAAGTATGTGTCGTTCGGCTCTGGCGGCCACACGTGCATGGGGCGGCGGTTCGCACTCCTCCAGATCCGCACCATCTTCTCTCTGCTCATGAGGAACTTCGTACTCGAGCAAGCGTATGCACACCCACACACGCCCGACCAGGACAAAAGACACAGCAACCACCATCCTCCCTCTCTCTCTGTCTGTGTCGTGTTGTCGCCTTGCCGTTGCTGTGCCAGTTCGCCGGTGCCAGCAGTGGACGAGACGGCCATGGTGGCCGGCCCCAAGACGCCCTTCCGCGTTAAGTACAGGAAGATCCACACCGGGACGGCAGCACTCATGGGCATCGACGGACAGTGCGGCGACCTCATGGACGCGTGGGGATTCGACGAGAAGAGCCAGAAGGTCGCTGATGCGATGCGGGCGTTTTGACTGAGAGATCTCTCGTGCTGCATCCGGGTTCTTGTGTTGTCTTGTGTGTATGTGAGAAATGCAGTCGAGCGTGTGAGAGTGCTAGCGGGGGAGAAAGGCTGCTGATCCATTCATCTGCGGCCGACATTTTTGTCGAGTGAGTGAGGGGCTCTCTGCTGAGCTGTTGAGGGCGGCTGCACGTTTGCATAACACGCCCCATTTTGCATTGTTTTCGTTGCTGCTGTGTAGTTTTGCGCACGATAGATATGTTGAAGTGTTGGTTGTCTTGGTCGGGGTGTCATCAGATGCGACGTCGCGTCGGCCCCGGGCCTTTGTGGAAGAAGGTCGGTCGGGGGCCGTGTGCGGTGCGTTTTGTGACACACCGACCGAGGCCGACGAATGCCTACTCGCCTGTCTGTATGCGAGCTCGAGTTGTGTGCGCAGTGAGGCTGGTTATGTTTCAGTGAGACGGAGCTCTGTGCTAGTGCCTTGGTGTGCTGCCATTCTTGAAAAGAGGTGACATTCATGGTCAGTCCTCCCTCAGCAGTGAGGGGGGCAGCACGGAGGCAGGCCACAGGTGTGCAGGGAGCGATGGGATGGGATGTACGTCTCACGTCAATGCATAACACTTCTATAAGATTGACGATTCTTGATCTGTTTATCGACACTGCCACACACACGTCGCTAGCCCTGACTAGCTCCCTTCCTCCCTCCCTCCCTCCCTCCCTCCCCACATACTTACACCCCTGCTCACGGTCCTAAAGTACACACACGGCACGAACGCCTTAAACCACAACGTCACTGCATGACGAGTAGGGCCTAGGACCTTAGACAACAAAGTAGGTGAGCGTATCAACTCACTCACGTGCACCAGCGCACCAACCAACCCACTGACTGCACTCACTGTCTGCCCACATCACATCACCACACCACACATCGCTGCTGGGAACGACTCATTGCGCAACACTGTCCAGCCAAACGGGGCTGCGGGCGAGAGGGAGGCCCGTCAGGAGAACTCCACCTCCACCAGGTAACGGAGGCAGATCTGCGCCACATCCTGATGATCCACACACACACACACACACACGAGGGGGAGCGCACACACACACAAAGAATTCTCCTTGCCACCCATCCATCCATCGCTCGCTCGCTCCTCACGTAGACGATAAACTCATTGTAGTTGAGGGATCTGTACGATTTCGTTGACTCGATGGCATTGGCGGCGGGCACCCTCACGCCACTGGGCAGCGTCACCGTCTTGGCGGGGTCGGGGAACATGCGACCCATCCCCTTGGTGCTCAGCTTGCCCTCGGGCAGCTTCTTGAGCGACAGCGAACAGTCGCCAGAATTCAGCTCGTTCATCTTGCCAAGGGCCACCTCAGCCAGCAGAAGCAGACCTGGACACGTTCGCACACAGACAACACCGCGAAGAGAGAGACAGCCAGGGATGTGTGTGTGTGTGTGTTGGTTGGTTGCGAGGGCGTGTGTTGACTGACCGATGTTTTCGTTGCCGCGTCTGTGTCCCCCCCACGAGTAGACATTGCAGTACTGTGCCGACTTGCTGACCATGTCGGCGAAGTACACGCCCTTGCCGAACATGTAACCCGTAGAGGGAGCTGCACACACATACCCAACGACCCGTTGAAGAGCACTTTCTGTGCATGTCAGTCAGTACTGACCTTCTGGTGGAGCGATTCGCAAGCCCTAGGATGAGACAAAGACAGGTGCACGAAAGGCGCCCCTCATCAGTCAGCACATTCATTCATCACGTGTGTACTGTATATGATGCATGCGCACCTGTGAGAGGATTCCCACATAGTTGGTCAGGCGGCTCCCGTGCCACAGCAGCAGCCTGACGTGAATGCACACACCAACAGACAAGCGAGAGGGCATCCGTTGATCAGACGCATAATGGTGGGTAGATTCCTGACCTGTTGTCGTTGTCTTTGTGTTTAGAGAATCGTTGTTCCTCCCCCTCCCTGTGGATCTCATAGACATTCTTGGTCTTGAGCTTCCAGTACGAGTGGGTCTTGCCGTGAGTCCTGGACACGTAACTCGCGATCAACTGACCGACAACAGGAAAGGAATGGAACGGAATATTTGACCAGACAGACGTGCCTGTCGGTGTGTGTCGTGCGTGGGGTCACTGACTTTGTACATGTCCTCTGTGGACTTGAGAGGCCTGATGTCGCACCGCAGGCTCCTGCAGACAAGACAAGACAAGAAAGACACCGTCACCGGTAACGCAGCTGCCTTGGGGCCAGTGTGCATGTGCCTACCTGTATTTCGCATCTGCTGGGTGCTCACTGACGTCAGACCGCTCCTTGAGCAGCTTGGTGGCGATCTCTGCGACGGATATCAGCACATGACAGGCGCGTGTGCACGTGTATGTGGGCCCTTCCAGTGGTCCGTTGACCGACCTATGTCTGCGAGTGCTTCGAGCATCCTCAGCTTCTCCCTCACTTTGCTTGGGCTATCCAGGATGTAACTGGCCAAATTGCGCATCCTGAAACACGTCCAGCCAGCAACATCAGGCAGGTAGTATGTGTGTGCAGTGGGCGTGTGCATTGGATGCCGACCCGAAGTCGTGCGGGATGATGGTGTAGAATTGGGAAGACAGATCCATCAGCTGCTCCCTGCAGCAGGGAGAACACGCAGACCGTATTGCCGGGGTGTGTGTGTGTGTGTGTGTGTGTGCGTCTGTGGTACCTGTTACCGCCCTGGTTGAGCGCATCATCGATCTGTTTGAGTACTTCATAGGCACGTTGGATCATCCCTTTCGATATCTTCCCTAGGGGCAGCTTCTTGCTATCATACCCTATCAGACGCTGTCAGACAGAAAGAGGAAAGAAACACCTGCCTGCCGAATGAATATGGACCAGCGTGGCCACGTGCAGGTGTACATGTCCCTACCATAGAGTCGTCCATCATCTTCATGTCGGATATCCGCTCCACCAGCGCCAGCACCTTCGCATGCAGCTTGCTTTTGGCCTTGTGCGGCTGATCGATCGGCAAACACACACAGAACAGATGAAAGGAATGGATGTACTGGACTGCGACGGCTAAGCTTTGGCGTACGTCCTTGGCAGGTTTGGGTTTGTATGAAGGGTCTCTGAGCCTCTTGCTGATCTTCTGCTCCTCTTCCTCGGTCGACGACGAGTAGTCCATCTCGATCAAGGTATACTGGTTGGTATGACACGCACGCCAACATGTGGCGAGTGAGTGATGGGTCGTTGGTGTGCCTGCCTGCCTGCCTGCATACCCTGTCGGTGGCCGGCTGGAAGTCCTTGACCGTCTCAGCGCCGCTGCCCTTCCTGCACACCACCCAGACAGCCACACTTGTAGGCTTCCTTCGGACAAACAGTACCATGCGTTTTTGGTCTTGTCCCTGAATTTCCTCCGGAACGCACTCTTGGCAGCGCCCTGCAGACAAAGGGATCGTTGACAAACACGACACAGACATGCACGGCTGCCTCCTCTGCTGAGCATCCGTACGATGTCTTGAAAATGGTCGCAGTGGCTGTTGCCGCTGTAGCCGACGCGGCCCCAGCGATTCCAACACACATAGTCATTTGGGTTGGTGTCGTGCTCCAACAACTGCACACACACCACAAACCACAAACCACACAGCAGGACATGAACCACTATGTTCTATATCGCATGTTTTGTTTGAGTGCCTGCCTGTATGATGTAGTATTTGTTGTTGTTGGAGCCCAGCTTGGCCAGGTTGAGGTTGGCGTCCCACAGCTCGTCCTCATTCTGGTACACCTGGCAAGCAAAGCAACACACGAACCCACAAGACACACACAGACCGCCTCATTCACCGCTGGGGCGGGCTCTTGTCGGTACGTGATAGCTGTCCTTCTCGCTGAAGTAGCGATCGACCTGAACTCCAAGGAAGATGCAACGAAGCCACTTATCGGTCTGTCCATATTGACACAAGAGACTAATGCCCACTCACTCACCATAGCGATTCCCTTGGCGACACCCTCGACCATCTTCTTGTCATCGTCGTCGGATCTCTTCCGAGGCCGACCCGCCCGCCTTTTCTTCTGAAGCACGCACGCCACAGACCCATCCACACACCACAAACCCACACAATCGATGAAGGACCTGCACCGACGGATCTTTCTATTTGCTTGCCTGCGTCCCGCTGTCACCATCAGCCGTGGCAACGGCGACCTTGGCATCGGTGGCTGCTGCACACAAACACACACAGACAAGCAGACAAGGAGGATAGTGTTTGCACACCGCCCACGACACAGACATCTCGTTTTCAAATCCCACCTTGTGTAGAGTTTCCATCTCCGTCGCCATCTGCAGCCGGCAACAGCAGCAGGGGAGGTGTGGGAGGCCGCAGAGGCAGACGCTTTGTGAAATGCAGCCGTGGTTGAAGGGCTGGCGCGAGAGAAGGAAGGAACGCAGAGTCTGCCCGTCGGCGAGATGCGACCAATGAAACAGCAGGCGCGACAAGCAATCCAACAAGCAGTACCAACATGAAAACACCGATGAATCAAACTGCTGGTTCCTTCAGTCAGACCGAACCCTGGACTCCAGACCCTAACCCTGCATTGGGCGAAGGTCAGGGTCTGTGTGCCAGTGGGCGTGATGGGGGCAGGAAACGATTGCTGATATACACCTCTCATGCAAGTCAGCTAACAATCGATAGGCCGTCCATCCATCCATCCATCTAGCCATGTGTCCAGCTGTCTGCGTGAGAGATCTCAGCCAGCACCTCCAACACATCAGCCTGCACACCATCAAACACACACACACAGACCAACATGCCTGGCACTGCCGGATGTTCTCCCCCGGGCTCACCTGTGTGGTCGTCTCTACTGTGGTATGAGGTGGGCGAGTCGGTATTTGGTCAGCAGAGGGCGGACCAAGGACATCGCGATGGGGTAGCGGTCAGGCAGCCGCTCCTGGCCCTCGATGGCCGCCTCGGTCGTGTAGAGGACGATGTTAACATCGGTCAGCCACAGATAGGCGGCGACGGTGTCGCCCTCCTTCATGCCCTTGAGGACGATGTATCGCTCCCGCCCGTCGTCGTTTACCCACCCGATGCAGTCGATGGTGGTGCGGCCGTCGATGGCGTCGCTCAGCAGTCGCTGATAGCGCTTATCGCCATCGGCCACTGTTGCGTCGAATACCTCCTTCTCGTCCACCCCCTCTTGGTCACACCACTCCACCAACACCATCCTCTTCACGAAGGCCGCGAATGAGGGGAGGAGGAAGTCATGGTAGCGGATGGGCGGGTTGTGGGGGTCGTATGTGCGGCGGTAAGGGTGACGGGGACGGAGGGCGGACAGCGGCACCGTTTCGAAGCGCCACTGGTGCTCGCCGTTTCCGATGGTATACTGCTGCCGCGTCACCCCACCGTCCCCCTCCATCGGCTCGTCCATCTGCCCGATCCCACCGGCCTCTCCTTCGCTGTCTTCTTCTCCGTCCCCATCGCCCTTTCCCTCCATCGCCTCTTCCTTAGCCTTCTTGCCATCCTGGGCCTCATCCACCTTGTCGAGCGCCAGGTTGATCCCCTGGTAGTTGAGGAGGTGGCCGAATGTGCTGTACTGGCGAAGGGCGAGGGGCATGGTGTGGAAGTGGGCCTTGGTGGGCAGGTGGGCCGCCATCCACTGGGGCGACATGATCAGCGGCAGACCAGTCGAGGGCGTCAGCTTGTAGATGTCAGCCAGCCGGATGAAGCCGGCCCACTCCTCACACCACAGCGCCCCGCCATGCTCCAGTGCATAGCAGCACTTGGTGTAGTACTGAAACGGCCTCTCCACGTCCATGAGGCCCCGCAGAGACCGGCGGCTGAGGTCCGTGTCGATGCGGGTGAGCATGAAGGTTTCACCGACGAGGTCGATGCCGCAGGTTTTGTTGGCCGCCCGTGCTGAGCTGACGGCCACGTCCAGGAATCGAGTCACGACGTCACGGTACAGATCCTCAGACAGGGTGCTGGGCATGCCATTGTCCATGTCGGCTGTGGTGTGTTCGGTGTGAGTGGGGGCGGCATGGGCAGCTGGTAGGGAGGAATGGGGGTGTGAGGGAGGAGGGGGGGAGGGGCTCGTCGCCGCCATGCCTTGTGTGATGGGGGTGAGGGCGTCAGAGGTCGCCGAGATGCTGCTCTTGAGGGTGGACCAATGAGAGGCAACAGACGGGACCTGAGGCCATCAGAGAGGAATGAGTCATGGCGGCGGTGGTGATGGGATAACCTCTCTGACCTTGGGAGCGACATTGGCGATGAACGAGCCTTCAATGGTCGTCACATCACACTCCACCTGACCAACACAAGGCCGAGCTGTGTGTGTGGATGTGTGTCGTCATCGCGTCCTTACCTGTGTCACTTGTGTCAGCAGCACTGAGAAGCGCCGCTGCAGCTCCTCAAAACTAAGACTACCGCCGGCCACCTGCACACGGACGCACAACACACACAGAGCTGTGATGGCGCACAGAGGGCGGTCAAATGTGTATGGGACAGGCCGCCCACCGATGCGTCATGGGCAACATCCATCCCGTCCTGCGATAATGCTCCACTCATCTCGTGATCTGACAATGCACAGCACATCATCTGTCCATATGCCTCGCTTCGCCCCATCCTCTCCATCTCTCTCGGCTTACCTGCGGCAGCCGGACCGTCGATGCGCTGGCGCTTGGAGCTGTCAGCATCAGACATCTCAAACACACGCTAATTAATGATCAACAGGCGCCACGAAGCGGAAACGGCGCCTGACGCGTCGCTGAAGGGCAAGAGGGCGATACTCTATCCATCACCAGGGCCGATTAGCGGCTCCTTCCGCCAATGCGCACCGACGCCATCCTTCCGTCGCCCTCTTTGTCCTCTTTTCTCCTTCACCGCCGATTCGATCGCGGTGCGAGCTACTAAATGCGGAGAGCGACTCTCCGCCTTTCTCACCGACGGAGAGAGAGCACATGGGAGACCATCTGATGAACGACTGAGAATCAAGAAAGATCCTATGTGATGTGATCTTGACGCTCGGTCAACTGCGGCAGCAGCAGGAGGCCGTGCCCATGAGCCGCTGTTTCCCCTTCACCTCCTTGATAGTGACCGCCGCTAATGACGCGCAAGCATCGGCCTTCGAGCGAGAGGTGGCCTTCAGACGGGCCACCGGCAGCATCCCGCCGTCCTGCAAGACGCATGTCATCTCAGATCCCAAGGGCGCACGAATCGGTACGTAGGCGGATCAGCACATCAAGCACAAAAAGGCCGCATCAACGATGACGTTTTCTGCTCTCATTGCAGGGTCCGGCGGTGCGACTCTGAACGCGTTAGTGCGATGTGCGCCCGGCGGTCCTCCTGCCGACGAGCTGCTGCTCATCATCCACTCAGGCGGCGACAGCCAGCGATCGCCCGTCCAGTCGGTCTGCGGCAAGGCGTTCGCCACACTCAATTGCCAGCAGCAAGGAGGGACCGGGCCGTTCCTCAGCGCGCCCTTCGACCTGCTGCTAGAGTCCCTCTGTCGCCTATTTGCCGGCGTGAAGAAGGGCGGGCTGGTGGTGTCGTGCTCGGACGTGGTCCTGGCTGTCCCACATGCGGATGAGGGCATGTGGGGCGGCAGTGGGGTGGTCGGTGTGGCAGCGGAGGTCGACGCGAGATATGGCCCGAGGCACGGCGTGTATGTGCCGACGACCGAGGGGCGCGTGGCGCAATTCCTGCAGAAGCCGACGGAGGCCGTTATGACGAGTGAGGGCGCCTCCCTCCCTCCAGGCAAGATCGCCGTCGACACGGGGGTGGTCTACTTCGACACGACCACCACACAGAGGCTCGTCGAGATGGCCCAGTCGCCCGTGCTGGCCGGCTGCACCGAAGCGGGTCTGAAGGAGGGGCAGCCGCCCCTGAGGACAGAGCTGTATAGCGACATCATGCTGGCCCTCAGTGGCGCCTCGACCGACCAGGAGGGCTATCTGCGGCATGACGGGGGCTCCCCGCCGGAGGCGCTGGTGCGTGCGCGAGAGATGCTGTGGAAGGAGCTGCAGACGGTGGGGTTCTCTGTGGCAATGCCTTCAGAGATGGACTTCCTGCACCTGGGAACAACGAAAGAGGTAAGTAGGAGAAAGGCTGACCCATGCACGCGCGATGCGTTTCCCCGTCCATCATCTGTCCTTCCCCATGTGTGTGTGGGTCAGCTGATGGACTTCATGTGTGGGGCCAAGGCGTCCTTCACGGCAGCCCACTCCCTCAGGCCAGTCGTGGCCTCGTACCTGCCGCCGTTCCACCCCCTCACCCGCCCCCCTCCCCTCCCCACACAGACACACCCATGGACCGTCGTCTCGAACAGCATCCTCCTCCCGGTAGACAGCAGCGGCGCATCAGATGTAGCGGGATGTCTTAGCGGTGCCGTCATCGAGCACTCGGTGCTCGAGGGCCGCTATCATGTCGGGCATCGGGCGTTTGTGAGCGGCGTGCGGTCGGGGTATCGGGACGGCCTGTGTGTGGGTGACGAGATGGTGGTGCAGGAGACGGCTGTGGGTGGGGGCATGCACGTGGTGGCCGTGTACTGCCTGGGGGATGACATCAAGAGGCCGGCTGCTGACCAGCAGGCCACTGTGTGTGGCGTGCCCTGGGAGACACTGTATGACGCTGCCCAGGTGAGTGGTCTGGAGAGGGTGAGGCTTTGTATGGCTGTCTTTGATTTCTTCTTGCGTCTGTTGCCATGTGTGTGGTCAGGTGACTGCCGATGACATCTGGCCATCGGATGTGGCCGCGTCGAAGCGAACCCTCTGGACAGCGCGGCTCTTCCCACCTTTCCCTGCCGCATCGCCTCAGGCAAGAAGGCCCCTCTCCCTCTGGCTGATGCAGCTGCGCGACAAGAGGGCAACTATCACCAGCGATGACAGGTGAGACAACTGACCTGTGTGGGTGCCTGCTTCTATCTGCTTCTGCATGTGTGTTGATCGTGTGTGCACCGTGTAGGCTGGCGGGTGTGATCCAGGAGTGGCGACGCGCGCACCGTCTGTCGCTCAAGGACATCCTGCGACAGGCCGACGCCTCACAGGAGTTCCACTGGCGCAAAAACGAGCTGCCAAGACTCATCACCGAAGCCCACAAGGTGACGTCAAACACACACAGCCACATTCTCGCGTGGCACCCGGTCACACATCACAAATCTGTCCCGCCTCCCCCCCTCCCCCCCCTCAGGCCACATCCATATCGCTTCCAGCCATCCAGACCGACCCAGCAACAGCCGCCCTGTCCATCGCCGCTGGCCCCTCTCCCCAGCTCGACATCGTCTGCCTCGTCGCGTCCACCGATGACAAGGCCAAGGCACTCGAGGGCACTCTGCACAAGGCACAGCAGAGAGGGCGGCTTCCGGCAGGGGCGGAGATCATGACGGTGGTCGACCCGTGTGGCGGCGGCCAGTGCGGGTCGGACCGGTCGGGGAGCATTGTGCTCAACGCGCTGCTTGTCATCGCCGAAAAACTGAGCGGACGAAACGTGAGAATCCCGCGGAAAGGCAGAGGGGGAGAGAGGGAGAGAGAGAGTGGATGATGGTCTCTCTCTCTCTCTCTGCGTGTGCTGTGGTGTGGTGTCAGAGTGCGACGTATTTGGATTTGGATGTGCTGTGTGGGCTGCGGATAGTGGTCATCTACGTAGAGGACGGCAGCCCACTGCCCCCATTCACCACCCTACTCCCACTGGTAAGGGCCCCCGCCCACCACACACCACAGGCATTTTAAAATGACACCCGTATACCCGCCCTGCGCAGGTGTCTGGTGACCTTCAGAAGTGGCCCCTGAGCAGTCTCGATGTCACGTTGGGCTCCCTCGTCCCACTTGCTGCATCGATGAGGCCTGGTGTGTTGGCGTGTTCGGCACATACCATCGTGCAGGGCAGCATTGCGCAGCTCCACACGGCCAGCGATAGCGACGGGGAGATCGTTGTATTTGCCTCACGAAGCCGAGACGAAGAGCGGTCCGATACAGGTCAGCAGGAAGCCGAGGAAAACTTGGTCACTTATCGGCCGACCCTCTTTCTGTGCTTGCAGGCCTCTTGCACGTGGATGTGGCTACTCGAGACGTGGTGGGGATGGGTGGTGGTGGTGATGGTGGCGAGTCGACGAGCAGCAGCGGCAGCACCGTTGTGTTGCCCATTGGGCTAATTGATTTCGACACCAGGGCCGCACAGATGTTCCTGGCCCTCCACACCACAAGCCCGCTCGACAGATGCACATACCTGGGTGAGAAGTACCAAGGACTCAACACACATCCACACACACACACACACACACGTGTGGGCTTCCCAATATATCTGTGTGCAGGTGTCGACACCGGCAGCACCAGCCCCCTCCCCTTGTCGCTCACCACCCACCTGCTGCCATCCCTCATCCAGCCCCCCCTCCACAAGCAGGAGGGGCCCTCTCTGCCCCTCCCTCTCCCGAGCTCCTCTCCACCCCATTCGTCCACCGAGTCGTCGCCCCACCTGCGGGCAGCCACGGGAGGCGGCACATCTTTCACTGGTCAGGGCAGCGGCAGCGACGTCGAGCTGGAGGGCGACATGGGACAGATGAAACCACCTTGTAGACGCACACCACAGCCCCAACAGCTGCATATGGGCACTGGTGGCCAGGCAGTGGCGGCCGACGAGGAGAGGATGGTCGAGGTCATGCGGAGAGAGCTGGGGGGCAAGATAGCTGTCAGGGCCGCTATTGTGGAGTTGACGGGGCAGGGGCCGAGGGATAGCGACAGAGGGCAGATTAGGTGAAAAGGGGGAAAAAGGCGCGAACCGCCCCGAACCGCCGACGGATGGGATGGATGTTTGTCTCTGCAGGCCATGTGTAGCGCTCCGCACGGTGCCCGAGTACGTCAAGTATGTGAATAGCGACCTGGTCCACTCAACGCCGCCAGCTACGCGCCGGAGCGATGCCGCCCACTCACACGTCGCCCACACGGTAAGCGGCAATCCGCTGTGGGTCGCCTTACCACATCACGTTCACATACATCTGTCTGGTCGGTCCATCCATCCATCCATCCAGGTGTCAGTGGTGACCCCCTGGTCGACGTCCCTCCAGTCGCCGCCCACCAAGCCGCTGCTCGTCAACTCCTGCCTGCAGGGGAAGGGATTCCTCCACCCCTCGTGTGTGGCCGTCAACTGCCGTCTCGATGGCGAGTTCAGCCTCGGCGAGGGGGCAGTGTGCGTCGGTGTGCGGTCTGTCAAGGGCATCAGCGTGGCAGGTGGGAGGGAGGGAGGGGTATGGGTGCGTTGCGTTGCGTTGCGGTGTTCGTCTTGGATGGCCGGTGTGGTTTTCGTCGCTGCCCTTCCACAAATTCGCCGCCATATGCATGTGCTTCCTTCGTGTTGGTCCCGTCTTGTCTTGCGTGACACACGAATGACATACATAGGCGGGACTGATGATCCGGACGCTATACACATACACTTCATCGTTTCTTTCTTTCTTTCTTTCTTTGTCGTCTCTCTCTCTCTCTCTGTGTCTGTGGTGACTGCAGCTAATGTGGTGGTGCAAGAGATTGAGATGCGGACGGGTGCGGACGGTGGTAGCCCTCGCTCCCCTGTGGTCGTCTTCTACGGCATCCAGGACGACTTGCGAGCGGCCTTCCGAGACCCGTCGGCCACCTTCAGGAACCGCCCGTGGAGCGACCTCTTCACGTCGACCGCCATCACCCCAACAGACCTCTGGCCGCCCCCCCACGACGACACGCAACAGCAGCAATGCACCCTGGCCAACGCCAAGCTCTTCCCCATCCACGCGCCGTCCCTCTCCCCGCCCCTCTGGCTGATGCAGATGCACGGGCCACCAGCAGCGGGAGCGGGCAGGGCCCAGATGATGAGTGCTGAGCTGCTGTATGCGGTGGACGAGTGGCGGCGGGCCAAGCGGGTCTCACTGGAGGAGGCCGTGATGGCGATGGACGTGTGTGCGGAGATGCGCAAGGTGGATGACGTTGGGTGGGAGGTTGATAGGCACCGGATGGAGGCCGTGCTGACCGGGCGGATGGACGACGACCTCACCGAAGTCTACACGGCTTGTGCGGCGGACGGGCGAAAGGGGGTGAGACAAATGAGGCAGGGCAGCCATTCGACCATGCCATGTACTCCCTCTCTGTCTGTGTGGATATGTGTGTCAGGTGTTCGCCGCCCTCGACTCCATCATGACTGCATCTGTGTCTGAGCTGGACGTCCTCTGCCGAGCCCTCATACACACCTCTGAAGCACTAGCAGCCTTCGCCACACAAGAGGTACCTGCCTGCACCCACACACACCTTGCTCGCTCCACCCAGCCAAACCCATCTGTGGGAATGGGGGTGTCTTCATTCACAGGGTGGAGTCCGCAGCGGCCCAGCCCACCATCCTGAGTGGGCCGAGGCGATGGCCGGTCTCAGAGACGTCAACCAGGTCGATGCCGTGCGACGGAGCCTACGGGACATGGCGGCCGTGAGGGACCGTTGGATGCATACAGTATGCCAGCCAGCAGCCGATGAAAGACCAGACCACCAGACCACACGAGACCAGACCAGACCACACGACATGACGGACATCGGCCAGACCATGTGTGTGTCGGTCTGCAGGGTCGTCCGGACCTGTTGATTCGATCCGCCCGGCACTATGAGAGCGCGGCCTTTCTCGTCATCCAGCAGGCAGTGGCCACGTGCAACCGGTTCGTGCACTTCTCCCTCTCGCCCACAGCCCGCCTGCCACTCCATGTGTGGGCGCAAGCAGTCGCACCGGCACGGCTCGACCTGGGCGGAGGATGGAGGTACGAAACTCTCAGGAAGTCAAGCCATCTGCTGCTCATGTGAACTCTGTGCTGTGGTGGTTTTGTTTTGTTGTGTGTTTGTTGCAGTGACACGCCGCCCATGAGCTACGAGTATGGCGGCAAGGTGACGACAGTGGCCATCAAAGTCGACGGCGAGAAGCCCATCGGCGCCCGTGCGTGTCGCACTGAGCAGTTGGAGGTGGTCTTGGCGCCTCAGTCAGGCGGGCGAGATACGGCGGACAAGGCCGTGTGCCTGTGTCGGAGCCTGGAGGACCTGTGCGACTACAACAAACCCGGCGCCCCGTGCGCACTGCTCAAGGTGGGTGGGGGGATGGGAGAGAGAGAGAGAGAGAGTAATCCTTTCAATCATCACACTCGTGATTCAGGCCGCCCTTGTGTGCTGCCGCATCATCGACCCACACGACAGTAGCCGCTCTCTCCAGCAACAGCTCCAAGACACAGTGGGCGGCGGCCTCCGCATCGAGTCGTGGGCCCACCTGCCCGTCGGCTCGGGCCTGGGCACGTCCAGCATCCTAGCGGGTGTGGTGCTGGCTGCTGTCGGCGTAGCGTGCGGCCGGCCATATAGCGACACAAGCAGCGTGTGTCACGCTGTCCTGATGGTGGAGCAGATGATGACCACTGGAGGCGGGTGGCAGGACCAGGTGAGTGGGACTGACTGACGGGAGTGGGGGAGGGGAGGGAGGGGCATTGCATCCCATCTCTTCGCCCCAATGTGTTTTGTGTGTGCAGGTTGGTGGGCTGAATGGCGGCGCAAGGCTGGGTCAGTCGGGGAAAGGGCTGCCCCTGAGAGTGGAAGCGACGGCCATCCCTCTCGAGCCAGCCGTGGTAGATCGCCTCAACAGACACCTGCTGCTCATTTACACGGGTGCTGCACCCACAGAGCCATGCAGACAGACCAGACCCCATTGCACCGCACCTGACCTTGCAGTGCATCATGATGATATGTCTGTGCTGTGCAGGTCGATCGCGGCTGGCCAAGTGCATTCTGCAGCAGGTGGTGAGGCGGTGGTCCTTGAGAGGCCGACCCACACTCACAGGTGGGTGACGTGAGTGACAGCGAACCATCCATGGAGGGCATGTGGCCATGTGCGCGCCTCTCTCTCGTGCTGTCCATGCAATGCCGTCACATACATCAGACATGGAGAGCAACCACCAGTACGCCACCACTGCCGCCGAGGCCCTGAGGAAAGGCGACCTGCAGGCCCTCGGTGGCGTCATGTGCGCCTATTGGGAGCTGAAGCGCCGCATGGCCGTCGATGCCGAGCCACCCATCGTGACGCTCCTCAACGACACCATGCGGCCTCACTCTCACGGCATGACGCTCGCCGGTGCGGGGGGCGGGGGCTTCTGGGTCGGCGTCACCAAACAAGACAAGCAGACCACTCTTGAGGCGGTCAGCCAGCAGCTGGGCCTCTCAGGTGCGCATGAGGGTGCGGCCGATGGTGTGTCGTTGGCGAAGAGAGGCAGTGCTGAGGACATGGGGGAGCAGCTGGTGCTGCCCGGGGGGGAGACGGTGTTCGTCAGAGATGTGGAGGTGGACACCGAGGGCATGGTGATCACTGTCGAGGGGCGGAGGGACAAGGGGAGCGCGGCTGGCTGTGTAGCTTGACATACATAGAACAGACATTGATAGATCTGCGAGGGAACTGTGCAAAGGCTGGTTAGTCTAGTCCAATTCGCCGCTGTGTTTAGGACTTCGTGTAGTAGGTCAGAGCTCACAATGAATCTTTGTGGTCAACGCCATTTTGTGCAGTGGTCCTGTTGATCTTTGCGGGGGGTAGGGGTCGCACATCGCCCTGCCCTCCGCATCAGACCATCCAACCGAGAAAGTGCAGACCTCTGCTTCGGTGTGCCCTCTGTACGGTGTGCCAACGGTCAAACGATTTTTCTTAGCTCGCAGCAAAACGAGCCGGAAAGGACTGATCTGTGAGCCCAACAGAAGGCAGCCGACCGACGACCGAAGCACAAAAGGCGTGGGCACCTTCGCAAAAGCGTTCCCTCGCGCCGCCGTGAAACGGTGCAGCTCGCGGATCTCTCCTCGCGAAAAAAAAAACAGAGAGTGAGAAGACAGAGCGGAGCGGCACGGCTGTCGTGACCCCCCGCCACACAGCGCACCACAGCAGCCGCCATCCACCACACAGCACAGCAGCTTCAGTCCATCTGCAGCCCGTTCTCCTCTCTCAAGACTGCTTGTGTCAGCCAGAGATCGATACCCTTTGTCAGCGAGAGAGCCTGCTGCTGTGCTGCTGAGTCCCTCCCTTCTCATCACAGCTGTCTTCGCGTGAGCCGCTGACTCGGACGAACGGCAGACATGTCAAGTGTGCAGCACCCTGGCCTCTACTTCTTCGGACTGGTGAGCCAAGAGAGACACTCAGAGAGATACGTACGTGGAGAGCTGCAGACAGACGTTCTGTTGTCTGGTGGTGTGTTGTGTGTTGGCCCTTCCTCGTTTTCTTTGCAGGCGCTGTTTGCGTCGATATGGTTGCTGATGGCCCTCATCGGCGGCCAGTGGTCATGCATTATGGAGGGCAAGTGCGGGGCGTCCCCCGGGATGAGCCAGGCAAAGGCCGTGCCAGTGATCACCACACCGACCATCCCAGATGACCGCAACTCGACGGCCACGGCCCAAGTGCAGTCGGCCCTCGATGACGCCAAGGACTTCTTCGCCATCGTGCAGATCTTGTGGATCGTTTCGCTGGCGCCGTTCGTTGTCTTTCTGCTGCTGGGGATGATTAACCCGCGGGGCTTCGAGTGGCGGCGAAAGGCCAAGACCTTGGCCAATGAGGACAGCGAGGCGCGGCGAGTGCATCTGCAAAGCGATGGGACCAAGATCAGCTACCGAGTGGTGACTAGAGGCACCAATCCATCGCTTGTGGCCGATGTGGCCAAGCGGAACATCCCGCTGCTGAGAGAAAAGGCCACGATGCCCTTCATCTACGAGGTCGCCACCGACAGGTGAGGTGCGCTCACACACAGAGAGAGGAGGCAGGCCAGCCACAGAGAGAGAGCCAATGCACTGCCATGGGGGCGTCAGTCACCTGTCTGTCGGTGTCCTATTATTACTTCAGGCCTCTGAATTTGGCCTGCCATTTGTCTGAGTTGGGTATCGGTGCGGGGGGCCACGACGCCGAGGGCGGCCTGGCGGTCAATGAGATCGTGGTGCCCGACTCGTATAAGCCCCCAGGCGGCGCTGTGTGGAAGGCGCGGGCCCTCAACTTCGCCAATGAGCCCAACCTCTGACGGTGAGAGAGTCAGTGAGGATTGCCGGGACGCCATGGCCTCTCACTCATTGCTGTGCTGTGCTGTGCTGTGGTGCTGTGTGTTCAGGAAGGGGACATTGTGGTGCATTTGGACGAGGAGACCCTCCTGACGCACAGCTGTGTGGCGGGCATCGAAGAGTTCGTCAGGGCCGATGCGTCGCGAGTGGGCAGCGGCACCATTGCCTACGGGCAGGACGTCATCGTCAACCCATGGCTGACCATGGCCGACAGCCTCCGAGTCACCGACGACTACTGCAAAATGCGACTCTTCTTCTCCTCCTTCAAACCCCTCATCGGCATGAAAGGTGACAGCAGAGCAGACACACACACGGCTTCTCAGCTGACTGACCCCCTGCCCTGCACACCACACACACGGATCTGTCTGTCTGTCTGCTTTTTGGTCCACAGGCTCGTTTGTGGTCTGCCCCGTGGCCGTCGAGCGGCGCGTGACGTGGGACCACGGCCGCGACGGGTCGATCACCGAGGACACGACCTTTGCCCTCAAGGCGGTGGGCGAGGGCGTGCGGTTCGGGTGGGTCAAGGGCGTCATGCGGGAGAAGAGCCCCTTCGGCATCGTTGACTTCATGAAGCAGCGGCGGCGGTGGTTCCAGGGGCTCTGGCGGGACGCCGTCAAGAAGGAGCTCAAGCTGCACACACGACTGAGTAAGCACAGCACACAGACAAGGATGAAGAGAGAGAGAGAGCTCATTCCTCTCTCTCTGTGTTTGGTTCGTTCAGTGTT